AGAAAGGAAGTGCCTTACCTTTCAGAAAATAGACCTGGGGCGCCTGGGTGGCTCAGTCGTTAAAACGTCTGCCTTCAGCTCGGGTCATTGATCCCAGGGTCCTGGGATCGAGCCCCGCGTGGGGCTCCCTGCTCGGTGGGAAGCCTGCTTCTCCCTCTCCCACTCCCCCAGTTTGTGTTCTCTCTCTGTGTGTCTCTCCCTGTCAAATAAATAAAATCTAAAAAAAAATACTTCTTTCAAGTGGTCCGTTTTCAGCTGCGACGTGGAGAGAACTCAAACAACTTTCCACTTTGCCCACATCCCTCGCCCTTCCCTGAACTTCTTCCAGCATATCGGAGCTTCCACCACATCACACGGAACATGACCTTGCTTACTTACTAGACCCCAACTAGTCTTGATTTTTGTCAACACACGATGCTAGAATAGTAGGTTGGCCATTTTTCCCAGTCAACAGTTTACAAACGCCAATGTAGCACCAGAAAGGAGTGTTCACCCTCAGAAGGAAAAATAAATGTTCCTTAACAAATACCTACCAAACTCCTCTTCTGTGCAAGGTGTTAGGGATAGAGGAGCTTACAGGCATTAGACAAATAATTGCACCAACTATTCCAGTTGTGATAAAGGCTGTAAAAGAGAAGCAGGTGGTATGAGAGTTTGTAGCAGGAGGACCACACCTACACTGCTGCGATCATGGAAGGCATCTGGAAGAAGAGAGCTGAAGCTGAGACGTGAAAGAAACATTAGGCATCAAGTGAGGAGGGGCGTGAGAAGCTGGGAAGCCGGAACCTGCAAGCACCTGGTGTAGTTCGGGCAGAGAAGGGAGTGTGCGGGGAGGCGATCTTGAAGCCGTTAGCAGGGGCCAGATCAAGCAAGGCCTCCCTCGGACTCACATTAAGGATTTTCAGCCTATATCTGAAGAGTTTTGAGCAGGGAAGTGACATACATTTTCATATAGGATCACTTTGCTTGGCCCATGGAGAACGGACCGAAGGAAGGCAGGAGGGTATGTAGGTGGAAGAGAAAAGAGGCTATTATTGGAGCCTAGGGGAGAGAGGTAACACCTGTTCACTGGACAACATTGAGGCACGAACAGATGTTAAAGACAGTGGGCTTCAAGGGGGGTTAGGTGTGTCAAGGGCAGGCAGGGATCGAAGATTATCCCAGATTTCTGGCATAAGAAATTCAGCGGGTACTGGTGATGCTTACTAAAGAAAGAAATCCTATAATTTGGAGGGGTTGTGTGATATGTTGATGGAGAGGTGCATGTGACATACCCAGGTGGAGATGCCAAGGGACTTGGATAGATGGGTCTGGAGCTCAGAATGGTCTGAGCTGGAACTCTATTTAGTAGTATGTATTTGGGATAGAGATGGAAATGAAAGCCAGGGGTTTGGACAAGATCAGGAGCTTGGAGAAATTATGGTACTAGAAGAGGGTCTAGTACTGAGCACTGAAGAAATCTACCACTTAGGACTGGAGTGGAGGAGAGCATAAGGGAACTGACGAGACATAGGAGTGTGGTAGTGGGCTCCAACATGGCCACCAGTGATTCCCCACCACCTGGTCTTTACGTCCTGGGTAGTCTACTCCCACATGGAACAGTGCTAACCTGTGCAGCCAATATGGTATTGTGCAAATGACAGTGCATGACTGAGGTTGTGGCTATAAAACCTTTTAAGATTTAAGAGAGACCTAAGGTGGTACCTAAAAATGTTCAAATAATAAAGCTTTTAAGAATCTTAAGGGTATTGTCCCTCAGCAGCCTGAGCAGAAGCCCAAGGTAGAGAAGGACTTATCGCAAAGAAATTTGTGGGTGTGGCTTTTACATAAAGGAGTGAACTGGAATAAGATTCCCAGGAGACACACAGTGTTCAGAAAAATTATATTTGCAGTAACACCACCAGCTTGGGCTGAAAAGAGATACACTACAAAGTGTAAAGAGGTCTTTAGACCTCCCAAATTCTACTGGGCGGTAGCAGGCTGAGAAAATGATGTAGCTGTAAACATGGGCTACCTTTAATGGAAAAGGAGACTCAGAGGATGGAACCAAGAGCCCAGCTTCCAAGATGGCCTCCAACATTCCCCCACCTTCTGGTATTCACACCTTTGGGTACTTCCTTCCCACACTGAATAGGACTGACCTGTGTAAACAGTATATTATGGAGTGACAGTTGTGACCTTTGAGGATAAGTCATGAAAGACATTGTACCTTCCACCATGCTCTCTTGGATCACCCGCTCTGGGGGAAACCAGCTACCATGTCATGAAAACTTTCAAGCAGTCCAATGGAGATGCCTACATGGTGAGGAACTGAGCCTCCTGCCAACAGTCATGTGGATGAGCCATCCTGGATGTGGATCCTCCGGCTTCAGTCAGGCTTCCAGAGGACCGCATGCCAGATATCATGAGATGACCCTCATGAGGAACCCTATGCAAGACCAACCCAGTTCAGCTGCACCCAAATGCCTGACCCATAGAAACCGGGGCGTTATGTTTGTTGTTTTAGGATCATATGTCTAGGAGTCATTTGTTAAGATCTGTCTCAGGGTAATTTGTAGTAGATCTTGAGGTAGTACAATAGGTAATTAATACAAGGAGAAAGACCAAGAATGAGTTCATGAACAGTGAATGAACTATGTTTCAAGGAGAGAGCGGACAACAGTGTCAAATGTTGTGGCATAGCCAAATGCCTCACACCTGGATGACAAGAGACCCCATATATCCACCCTGAATTTCATGTGGATCTCGATTGTGGAAAACAACAAAACCAATCAAAACCCCACTATACTCAGTATACTTGGTGTAAGAAAACTAAGAAGTATCTATCATTCTTTTGAAGGACTTCATTCAAAACATGTTTTGAAAGACTGCGGCGCCTCTCAATAACAGCGGGCAAATGTTTTACTGAACTTACCCACTCTATCATTGTCCTCGTGTGGACACGCCGCACCATTGTGGGTTTTACTGAACGTACCCACTCTATCAGTGTCCTCGTGTGGACACGCCACGCCACTGTGGGCTGTAAGGTGGCAGAGGGCAGAGGAACCTGCCCTACAGCACCTGTACTGTTGGGTATGCCATAGGTGCTCATACAAGCAAAAGCTTAAGATAGGGGCACCTGGGTGGCTCAGTAGTTAAGCATCCAACTCTTGATTTCAGCTCAGGTCATGATCTGAGTCGTGAGATCGAGCCCCACATCAGGCTCCGTGCTGGGCATGGAGCCTGCTTGGGATTACCTCGCTCCCTCTGCCCCTCCCCCCCAACAACAACAAAAAAAAAACTTAAGATAGAAAAGACTCCAAAAATATTTTACCAAAAATGAACACTACCACTACCTCATATTTATGTGGTAATTTATATATTAAAAGTACTTTCACGACATCTTATTTTGTGCTCACAACAAACCCTGTGAGGTGGGTGGTGGGTGTGTAGAAAAGGCAAATACAAGTCATTCCTATTTCCCAAGTGAGGAAAGTAAGAGGCTTCAGTTACTGGATTAAAGCCACACAATATCTTCATGGTTGCAGGTCTTCTGGTATCAGGTTGAGCACTTTTTCCAAAATACCCAGGTAGCATTTACCAGGGAGTATTCATCTAGCTTCCTCTTTCTGCCAATAATCTCAACACAATTCTAACGTAACCTTCTGCAGCAATCTCTCTGCCTTGTGCTTGAATACTGTCTTTTCTGAAGCTGGAATCATGAAACGGATAAAGATTCTCTGTCTTCTTTTCACTTTGGTTCCTGTGCAACAGGACACCTTGAATGCCTTCCACAGCACTCCTCAAGGGTGGCTGGACAATACCTCCATTGTTCAAAACATTCTTCACTGGAAGTTGCCTTCTGAGAACCCAACTTCTTCCCAGAAGAAAACCAGTCTACTAGTTGAGAGTTATGTTTCATTTTTAAATTACAAATGGCATCATTAGCTTGATCATCTTCCTTAATCAGATTTGTAGCTGTTTCCTAAACTTCAATCTAAGCTCAGAGACCAAAACTTTACAAACACTGAGTATATTCAAACATGCTTGTTACAGACTGAGGGCTTATCACAAAGACGTTCCAGAAAGGTTAGTGGCAACAGCACCCTCTGAACAGAATTCCCCTGACGAAGAAAACCCTCCTAAGGAATATATAGCAACGATATTGATAAAAACAAGGGCTTGTGTGTGTTGAGTGGCACTTTATATGTCTTGTCTAATTTAATCCTCAAAAGAATCCTATGAGGTAAGACAAAGTTCTGTTTAAAACTCAAACGTTACCACGCGGTCACACATGGGTCATGCCCTTTTATCATAAAGGGCAAGAACTAATTCCTAAATCCTACAGGAATGAAGAGCTAATGCCTCTCAACAGCTACCATCTCCTCAGCGGGTTGGTCTGTAGGGATCTGACCCAATTTGGGGTTTTTCACACATTTTCAAGCCTGTTAGTGTTTTGCCATTCTCATATCAGTGCACATTTTAGTCTATTTTCAGTGGATGCAGAGTGTAGGGAACAGAAATAAGTATATTTTTGGCTCACAGAAATTCAAGACATTTTCAATCTTCCTCAGTCTGGCTCCATGGCTCCAATATGATTTCTATCATACCCATCTAAAGGAGGATACAAGAAATTACATTTCAACTTTGTCTTTGCTTCTTTTTTCTCCTATCGGGATTAGTGCAAGAAGGTAAGACATGAAGACTTAATCCAAGAATCTATTCTTAAGTAGCAATTTGAAGAGCCAAAATTTGCTACCAGATATCTATTTCCATCTATCTAGATATCTATCTATAGATATATTTAGATCTAGATAGACATTTTATGATTCATTGTTTGTGCATAACACCCAGTGCTCCACGGAGAACGTGCCCTCTTTAATACCCATCACCAGGCTAACCCATCCCCCCACCCCCTCCCCTCTAGAACCCTCAGTTTGTTTTTCAGAGTCCATCATCTTTCATGGTTCGTCTCTCCCTCTGATTTCCCCCCCTTCATTCTTCCCCTCCTGCCTAGATAGACATTTTAAACCCACAGTTCTTGAAAACCATCTCAGCAAGTGTGTTCAGGTCCTTATTTCTAGTTCCCTCATAGTGACAGAACCACAAAAGCGGGCAGCCACGTGAGAACTGCTATAGCCAAGAGTAAGACCATCAGCCCATCCCAAACAAGACACTCAGAGTCATGATTCCCAGGACTTCTGCCATGACCATGGGCTTTAAACCATTCTACTACTTCCTGGAGGTCAAATGGCTGAGGCTCATAACCGAGCTCCTTCTGGGCCTTCTCTAGGCTAAAGTAATGTGTGATGCCAGTTTTGTAAACTTCTGTGCGGGTGAGGAAGGGCTGGAAGTTGTAGAGTTGACCTAAAATGAAGTGAACCATTTCTGTTAGGAAAGCAAAGCAGTAGATGAGGGTCAATGGCAGGCGGACAGATGGGAACGTGTAGCCTAGGCCCTCAACCAAAGGCCGGAAGAACTCAAAGTTGTTCACGGGCCTGCCATCTGAAATGAAGTAGGGCTGCCCAGAGGCAATGTGGCCCTTGTCAGCTTTCAGAGCCTCTGAGGCCAGAATGTGAGCCTGTACCAAGTTATCCACATGGACAAATTCAACCAGGCTCCTAGGATCTCCGTACACAAACTTGAACAGACCCCTCTCAATGTACCTCACTATCCTGGGAAGGTGCCTTTGTTCTCCAGGCCCATAGATACCAGCCGGGCGCAGAGCACAGGTTCTTAAGACACCATCACTTCTTACCAGGCTGGTACCATTGGCCTCCAGCACCTTCTTCTCTGCAATAGACTTGGTCCGAGAGTAGTGATCAGGATGGAGGTGAAGAGGTAGGTAAGGCAGAGATTCATCTCCATTTCTGATAACTTGACCTCCAAAGATGACATTGAAAGTGCTGGTGTAAACAAGTCTTGGCACCCCTCTCCTCCTGCAAACCTGGAGGATATTGTCTGTGCCCCCCACATTGACTTCTTCAATCAGGCTCCGATTCAGCTGCTCCCACCCTGACATGCCATAAGAGGCAATATGGAACACACACGTGACATCCACATCCTGGAAGGCGTTCTCCACGTCAGAGAGGTGGCGAATGTCTCCATGGATAAACTTGATTCCTTCTGGAATAGAATGAGCAGGGCTGCTGATGTCAAACAGAATCACATGGAATCCTTTCCGGTTCAGAGCACAGCCTAGGCTGAGATGAGAAGCAAGTTAGATCAAATCACCAGTAAGCTATGCCTAAAGAAAAGTGCATAAATGTAGGGCTGATCCAAGCCTTCTAGGCTCATCCCGAGTCCCCTACTTTACATGTTCATTGGTGCAACTCTTACTTATGTAAGTATGCAAATATTCAAAACTGAGGATCCACACATCTACTCAAATTACACTGAGAGGTTTTATCTTCTAATATGGTGGCATCTACATGTTCCATTCCCCGCCCCCGTTTATGAAACCACCACCCATTCTTTGGAATATTTATGAATAACAGAACTGCAAAAGAATAACTATTATTTCTAATGTTTTTGGTGATGTCAGTTATCTCCCTAATTTAATACCTTTACAAAGAATTTTTCTTAAGGTAGAATACATCTGTAGTTCTGAATTTCAGCATCTGAGCAGTGGGCAACCTAGTTCATTTCTGATTTAACACTATTCAAACAAGTAGAAGCTGACACTAGATTAATGTCAGAGTTGAAGGCTCTATTTTTTCCAGCAACTACCAGTAAAATAATTCCATGGACATGTGTGATCGAAGCACTGACCGGAAACCAAAATAGCCACCTCCTCCTGTAATGAGGACAGTTTCCTTTAGAGATTTTTGGAAGTCCATGTGTGACAGTCAAAAGATCACGGGATCTATAAGAAAGAAGTATGCAACACTGTTACTGATCCCTCGGAGGCTACTGCTGCAGCAAAAAACAGGGCGCTGATAAGCTCCCAGGCTTATGAAGACCCAGCAAAATGCCCGACATAATGGGCACTCCATGAAGCCATTTCTCCAATTTCCTTTTCTTCAAGCTCTGGAGTCTGGGGATTGATTGATCTATTACATTTCCACATACCATGATTACACCTCTCAAAACGTACAGGGTTGCACAAAGCCTGGCAAGTTCTTCTGGATGAGTGTACTAATTACCTCAGATGGCCAGAAAAGCTAATCGGTCCATCATGCAGCGATCAGTTGGTGTGGCAGCTACTGAGGCTGTTTCTAAACACACTGGATGTCAGTCCCTGATACTTCACCCCAGACTTCTTCCCTTCAGTATGTGGGTCTGCTTGAATGTCACTTGCTCAATCAGAGATGCTTCTCTGATCCCCCTAAAAGAGCTCCCCTTACCTTAAATACTGCTTTGTTTCTTCATGGTACATTTCGCTACATAAAATTATCCAATTTTTTTTTTTTTTTACTATTGCTCTCCTTCCAAGAGAACGTAAGTTCCATGAGAACTGAGACCTTCTGCCTCTTCCACTGACAGGTCTGTACCAGAATCTAGGACGTGGCAGATGCTCAACAAATATTTGTTCAAATTATGGACGATTTTGAACACTGTGAGATACATCCAGTTCAGTAAAATTATGATGGGCACAAATGGCGCAGGGCTCTGCAGTGTGTAAGAGTCATTGTTATGTTTGTCAACGAACACTGCTACTTTCATTTAACTTCTCTTCTAAGAAATGCTGAGTTACGGAGTGAAAACAACACAAAGCTAAATGAGACAGAATTCCTGCTTTCTGGAAATGATGACGGAGAGAGCCTTTTGCAAATATCTAAACTACAAAGCAAAAAGGAGAAAACAAGATTCCTGTCATATGTTGGTGTAAGCAAGGTGCTATGGGAGCGCCGAGGTGGTGTCGAGAGAAACTGATTCTGAAGGGCGTATTAGAGAAGACTTCACTGAGGCGTGAATCAGGACAACAGGAAGATTCAGGTGGGCTGAGACAAGGCAGAGGGTTACCACAGGCTGAGGGGGCAACATTAATGAATGGAACAGCAACAGGAACGCTGTGTTGGGCAATTAATACGGTGAGTCCACTGTGGTTGGTATGCAAACTGAAGCCAAAGCACGTAGCTGGTGATTAAGGTGGGAAAGATGGCCTAGGGTTGGCTTTCAGACACCTCTGAGTTCCTGGTGGGGAGTGTAGATTCTATTCTTTAAACAGTTGAAAGCCTTTGTAGGTTTACTGAACAGGCTTGCTCCCTTTGGTCCTTGCTAAGGGTCAAGCTTTCCCTGGAGGAGGGTGAGGCTGGAAACAGCCAAGAGTCTCAGTAAAGGGTGATGGGACTGGGCTAGAGGCTTATCTGTGAGGAAGAAATGCCAGTGTGCTGAGCTGAAAACAGGACAGGATCTGGTGAGCAACTAAGACCCCAGTGGGCAGCGTCCAGGTGAAGAGTGTGCGGTCATTCACTGAAATAGCACACACAGGTTTTAGAAATGTTCCATTTGGTTAAAAGATGTTCTATTCTGAGTAATAGGATGCCAGATAACAAAGTTTAAGATATTCTCAGTATCTCCACAAGAATTCCACGAGGAAGGGGTGCCTGGGTGGCTCAGTTGGTTAAGCGGCTGCCTTCAGCTCAGGTCATGATCCTGGAGTCCCGGGATCGAGTCCCGCATCGGGCTCCCTGCTGAGCAGGGAGTCTGCTTCTCCCTCTGACCCTCCCCCTTCTCATGCTCTATCTCATTCTCTCTCTCAAATAAATAATATTAAAAAAAAAAAAGAATTCCACGAGGAGGGATTCAGAAAATGGACCGGGCCTCAGAGTCCAATTAGGAAAATTCCAACAGAAATTCTTCCTAATCTCTAATTATCCTGATTTTAAAATTGCACATTCCAGTGCAGTCACAGGACCACAAGTCAGCCATGGTTCATGTGCACGTTAGTCATGCTGGGAATGTACAAGTTCAAATTATTAACACATCAGAGTACCTGCCAGGCCTATTCATGCTACTCCTTATTACTTTCCAACTCATTCCACAATGATCTGAAGCAAGAATTTATATAACTGACCTGATCAGGAGGGTCAGAGGAGAAAGGTGGCAATGAGTAAGGAAAAAATAATGATTTAGCAAGAAAACAGCGCGGAAATGAAACCTATCCACCAGGTGGGTAAAACCTTCACAGGTTACCAGTCATTAGCATTACCACCAGGAGCCAAGGCCTCCCTTCCTGGCTCCCCACATCAATAAGCATAGAGAAAACGCAGTAGACACATTTCTCAGGAAATTGCAAGAAACTCCCAAGAACACTAAGCCAGAGGGAGAAGAGTAGATACAGTTTTTCCTCAACCAGCTGCCTGATCTTTACACTTTATGGCTTCTCTTTTTATTAATTAGTTACCATCTGATTCCTTCTGGGGCTGGGCACTCAACCTCAACTGCTTTAAGGTTCTTTCAAAACCCGGCTTAGTAATTGCTTTCCCCTGGGCGGAGGGTGAACGGTCACATCTGACCTGAGCAGTCACTCTAGTGGATATGGGTTAAAGTTAAGTGCATGAGCCAGAAAAAGGAATCTTAATTACAAACAAGAAAAAATGAAATTTAGATCTGCCTGACCTCTTGATAATACTAAGATAAAATTGAGGGTAATAAAGTTGATATCTCACAGGGAAGTTATGAGAAAACTCATAAAAATGACTATGGGTACTTTAAATTTACAAAGCCCTAATTAAATGCTAAGGATCAGGAAAAAGAACCTTAGATTATGCACACAGTTCCTTCATCCCGAGTTCAAGATGACAACACCAGTAACCCTCGGGTATAATGCAATATACAAATCTAGGTGCCACTGGAGTCCAGAACAGATAGGAGAACTAAAGACTGCTTTCATAAAAATAAAATTTTACTATGTTTGCTTCAAGGAAGATAAAAACAGCTCCAAGTCGTTTAACTCTGTGGTGGTATGTTTTAAATTACTGCCCAAGTACCACCTAGAGGCAAAAGGTAACTGTGCTCTCACTGTATTGAGATCAGGAAAATACATCGAGGCTAGACGGTTTAGAAATGGTGCTGTTCAAATTCCATGCATGATCTGAAAATTATTTGTGCTTAATACAAAGCAGTCAAAGCAATAAAGACGAAGTTGGTAAAGATGATAAGGGGAGTAACCCTGATAACAGGTAAAAGGGACGTGAGGTATACAAACTAAGAGGCCAGACACATTTGGGAAGAAAATTAGCTGAGGGCACAGCATTAAGCGCAAAGTCGACATACTCCACGGGGTAACATCGTGGTTACCAGGGGCTGGGGGCTAGGCGAAATGAGATGTTGGTCAAAGGGTACACATTTCCAGTAATAAGGCAGAATGAGTTCTGGGGATCTAATACACAGCAGTTAACCGGACTACAGTCAACAATACCTTACCATGTACTTGAAAGTTGCCAAGACTAGATCTTTAGTGCTCTCAGCATACACACAAAGACCTAATTATGTGAGGTGCCTGAGATGTTAACAAACCCTACTGTGGTTACCACTTCACAGTATAACAAATCATCACATTGTACACCTTAAAACTACAGTGTTATGTCAATTATCTCAATTAGCACGAAGAAAAAAAAAAAATCTTAAATTCCCCACCCAGAACTGGTTGTAAGTGGCTGAGCTAGACCCAGGGCTTGAAGCCAGATGTGCAACACTCCCAAGCCTGGGCCCCTTTTTTTTAAGATTTATTTATTTCAGAGAGAGAGAGAGAGGGAGGGAGAGAGATGGCGCTCAGTGCGGAGGGGCATAGGAAGACGGAGAGAGAAACTGAAGCACATTCTGCACTGATTTCAGAACTCACGTGGGGCTCAATCTCACGACCCTGAGATCAGGCCTGAGCTGAGACTGAGCCCAAACGTGCTGCATGGAGCACTGGGTGTTATGCGCAAACGGTGAATCATGGTTACTAACATAACATAATTAAATTAAAAAAAAAAAAGTCAAAACTAAGGTCGTAGTAAAGTGGAAAAAAAAAAAAGTCCAAAAGGACTGCGCTACCCAGGCGTCCCCCCCACCCCCCAAGGCTGGGCTCTTAACCAGGCGAGAGTCGCCCCCACACGGGGTTGGGACAGTGCACTGTTTACTTACCACCTTTACAATTTCTGTCGCCCCTGGTACCTCCGCTACCTATTATGTTTGTTTAAACCTATTTACCTTTTTACAAGAAATACATTCATTTTAAGTGCGACCCTCACATTCCCACTTTAAATGGGAAATCAGAATCATTTGTCGTAAGGGAAGGGAGTATTTCCAGGAACTATGAGATGAAAACAAATGATCAAGTCTAGCCAGACAGAGATGCCTGATGAAAACTCTGAGCTTGGGGTCGGCTCGTTAAAAAACAAAACAAAACAAAACACACCCAGCGGCCAGGGTTTGAGGCCTCCGAGACATTCTAGAAAGCCCGGCGCGACTGGCTCCTTGGAATCCGGCAGAGAGCTGGAAAGGGGGGTAGTTCCCGCCACCAGGGTGGGCGTCACCCACTGCCGCGCCCCCTACCACCCGGCCGACCACTGCGCGCAGAGACAGGCGGGGCCGCCCACAGCCGCTCTGCTCTCTGCGCTCCCGCCGGCCGGGACCCCGGACCCCGCAGGGCGGAGGCGGCCACCCTCCCGACCCTGGGCCACTCACAGCGTGGAAGACGGCAGCACCTTCGGACCGCGACAGGCCAGGGTCCCAGGCCTCGCGAGCCCGCCCCCGCGCCGCGCCGCGCCGCGCCCGTGCCGTCGGACCGGTCTCGGGGAGCCACTTCCGGGCCTCTCTAGGAAGGCCGGAGGTCTCGGCATCTCTATGATGTGCAGATTTCACGTCCATCCTCGCCTGTGCCGGCCCAGTGGGTTTGCTCCAGGAATCTACCCTACGTGCCCAGCCCGACT